GTATTTCCTCACTGCTACATTGCCCTTGATTAAGCCCCACTAGGCATCCTACACCCTTCTCTCTTGTGGGTCTTTTTTGCTCAATCCCCTAAAAGAAGAAATCATTCAATATCTTAAAGCCCTTGAAAATTCAAAACCAACATTAACCTGAAAAACACAACTATTTCTAAGCTTCCATTAATGCATTTCAGAATTGCTTTTCAAATTATGTTCCACTGAATGATACAGATACTGTATTACGAGTTGGAGAGTTTTCTAAATGAAACAAATGGGAAAGATAAGTGGGAAACATTTAAAAGCTTAAGGCTTAGCAAGAAATATTCAATAATTTACCCATTCAACAAGCAATCTCTGCTTTCCTACTGTGTAAAAGACACTGGGTGGTGCTGGGAAACAGGCAAACGAATAATTTGGAGAAAAATTATTTATGACAACTTCTCTACTCCACCCAACTTTCTTTTCTTCTCTGTTACAGATATTAAGTGGGCACAATGATTGGATTATTTGTACACCAATGAGTTATCAATTTGCATAAATCATCTGCTTGCCGAGTTGGCCAAAAGGAGAGGGAGAGGGGACTTGAGTGTGGAGAGTGACCTTTCCAACTGCAGTGGCCTATAAAAGGTTGGCTTCTCCGCATTCCTGCCATCGCTTCCTCTCAGCTTGTCGCTCCGTGGGCAGTGGATTTCCCCAGCAACAGCATGTCACTCTCAGTGAGCACTTGTGGTATGCCCCGGCGGCTGTCCTCCCAAAGTGGGACAGCAGGCAAAGCCAGGGCCATGTCCACCTCCAGTGTTGGAAGTGTCTGTGGGGGCAGCACTCTGGGCTTCGGAGGCAGCCGTGGGGGAGGCTTTACGGCTGCTTCCATGTTTGGCTTTAGCTCTGGCTTTGGTGGGGGCTCTGCAGGTACCATTGCAGGAGGATTGGTCGCTGGTTATGGACTGTGTCTGGGGACCAGCTTGGGGGGAAGCCCACGAGGGGGCTCCTTAGGCATCCTCTCTGTCAACGATGGAGGCCTTCTCTCTGGATCGGAGAAGGAAACCATGCAGAATCTCAATGACAGACTGGCTTCCTATCTGGATAACGTCCGCGCTCTGGAAGAGGCTAACAGGGAGCTCGAAACCAAAATTCAAGAATGGTATGAAACGAGAGGGGCTGGGGCTGGAGACCCCGGGTCACAGAGTGACTACACTAAGTACTATGCGTTGGTTGAAGACCTCAGGAATAAGGTAAGAGATGTCGTTTGGAGGAGCTTTGGGAATTACTTTTCCCTTTGGTTTTTACTGCGACGACACACCGTCATGAAGCTCAGAGGAGTTTTTCATTCTGATTGTATTCTCAAGATTTCCGTTCCCTTGTGTCATTCCACACGCGGTGTATGCCCACCACTCTTCTGTAGAAAGCAGGTTGCTTACTGTTTAAATAATATCTTTTCTATGGATTCTCTTAGAGGAGAAAAATGAAACACCCCTAGCGTTTTTTTTTAATGACCTAACAATCTTCAGGCCGACAATCGGTATAATGTATAATGCTTGCATTTCAGGGGCTCATTTTGGGTGCCGCCCCCTGTTTTGCCAGATCATTTCTGCCAGCGTCGGAAACGCCCGGCTCATCTTACAGATCGACAATGCCCGACTGGCTGCCGAGGACTTCCGGATGAAGTGAGTGAGATAATAGAAAAACGGACAAAG